CCAACTGTAGGCCACTTCGTGTTCTTCGTGTTCCCAAAACACAACTCCCAGGCCGCATTTTGAATGCCCGGAGCCCACTGTAGGCCACTTCGTGTTCTCGTGTTCCCAGAACACCATTCCCAGGCCACATTTTGAATGCCCGGAGCCAACTGCAGGCCACTTCGTGATCTTCGTGTTCCCAGAACACCAGTCCTGTGCCATATGTTGAATGCCCGAGCTGAGGCAGGCTGAGGCCGAGGCACGCTGAAGCCGAGGCAGGCTGAGGCTGAGGCTGAGGCACGCCGAGGCAGGCTGAGGCTGAGGCTGAAGCAGGCTGACGCTGAGGCAGGCTGAGGCTGAGGCTGACGCAGGCTGAGGCCGAGGCAGGCTGAGGCTGAGACTGAGGCAGGCTGATGCCGAGGCAGGCTGAGGCTGAGGCAGGCTGAAGCTGAGGCTGACGCAGGCTGAGGCCGAGGCAGGCTGAGGCTGAGGCTGAGGTAGGCTGAGGCTGAGGCAGGATGAGGCTGAGGCTGAGATTGATGCAGGCTGGGGCTGAGAGGCTGACGCTGAGGCTGAGGCAGGCTGAGGCTGAGGCCGAGGCAGGCTGAGGCTGAGGCTGAGGCAAGCCGAGACAGGTTGAGGCTGAGGCTGAAGCTGAGGCAGGCTGAGGCTGAGGCTGAGGCTGAGGCTGTGGCTGCGGCAAGCTGCGGCTGAGGCAGGCTGAGGCTGAGGCTGATGCGGGCTGACGCTGAGGCAGGCTGAGGCTGAGGCTGAGGCAGGCTGAGGCTGAGGCCGAGACAAGCCGAGGCAGGCTGAAGCTCAGGCTGAGGTTGATGCTGAGGCAGGCTGAGGCTGAGACAGGCTGTGGCTGAGGCCGAAGCAGGCTGAGGCTGAGGCAGGCTGGGGCTGAGGCCGAGGCAGGCTCAGGCCGAGAAAGGCTGATGCTGAGACTGAGGCTGAGGCTGAGGAAGAGGCCGAGGCAGGCCGAAGCTGAGACAAGGTGGGGCTGAATGGGGGGGGGAGGGAGATGGGGGGGGGGAGGAGGGGAATCTGAGGCAGGCTAAGGCCGAGGCAGGCTGAAGCCGAGGCAGGCTGAGGCTGAGGCTGAGGCAAGCCGAGGCAGGCTGAGGTTCAGCTGAAACTGAGGCAGGCTGAGGCATCCGTAGGAATCCATCGGGATCCTTAGGAATCCCTAGGAATCCCTTGAAATCCGTAGGCATCCTTAGGAATCCGTAGGCATAGTTAAGCATCCTCAGGAATCCTTAGGAATCGTTCGGAATCCGTAGGAATCCTTAGGGTTCTCTAGGAACCCTTAAGAATCCATAGGAATCAGAATTCCGAAGGTTTCCTAAAGATTCCTGTGGAATCCTAAGGATGCCTAAGGATGCCTTAGGAATCCTTAGGAATCCTTAGGATTCCATTGGATCCTAAGGCCAGTGCCACTGCGACTGTCATTGCGAATGCGACTGCGACTGCGAGAGCAGCAGAAATCTACAACTGGATTCTCACATGAATATGAAGGGGAATGCTTCCAGGTATGCTTATACACATCGTTGTTAGGTTGCTTTGCCGGGGGAATGAAACAACATAAATTTAAACACAAAAAACGTTTGGTGCGATGGAGCAACCACGACCAACCGACGCACGAGACCTCGAAACAGACAAAGAACTGCTCACCCGGCCTCAAAGCGTCGCAACGCCTCAGGACGTCGCCCCAACTGCAATGGATTCCAAACTCCCGAGCGTCGTCCGCGGCGTAGCCCGCCCCCAGACAGAACCCAGGGGCGAGCTGGACATTCGAAAACATGTAGCAGCAGCCATCGACGTCAGCATCACCTGTGAAGACGAACGCGGAAAGCGCGCCACGGAAGACCCCGCACTGGCTGAGGAAAGCATCGGAGAGGTCAAGGCTCACCATGGCCTGCGCCGAACCAGCATGCGCGGTGGGCGGCCGCCTGTGACTGAGGCAGGCCTGGCGGGCGTCGAGAACCGCGCGGACCTCGCCCACGTTATTCTTCGGGGAAATGCGCAGAAAACTTTGGCCCTGTGCCGAAAATATGCCTATCCAACACCTGCCGGGCACTTGACAAACGACAACGTTCGGTGGTTCGAAGACCGGCGCAGAAGAGGGCCCCAATAAGGCTCCGGCAACTCTGGTGCGAGACTGAGAAGCTCGTCGGCATTCCGCTCGATCTGCGCATCACAATGACGAAAAAACATACGCGGCCTCAACTGGGAGACCATCCATCAGCGGGCCTGGCGCCAAGGTCCCCGACAAATCTTCTCTTCGGAAAACCCTTGCGCCGCTGAGTTTACCGGCCCCTGTCCGCGGAGACCAGGAGCTTCCCTGGGGCTCGCCGCTCATAGAGGCCAGGAGATGCGCGACCGCGCGCGGCCACTCGCCGGCGAAGACGCCCAAGAGCAACGTCTCGAGCTGCGGTCGGAAAAATTCCTCTCGGGACTGTCATGCACAGGCCGTCGCACAGGTAGCAAGGTGATTCAGCGCCTTGGCCGCCCCATTCACTTGCTCACACCGAAAAGGCCGCCTAGCTCGTTGCTGCTAGACATAGGAGCCCCCCCGAGTCCGCGCGCTGGCGGAGGAGAACCCCGAGACAGGAGAAATGGCGCGCCACTTAACGATCGCCCAAAAGCAGCCAATGAACCGCACGTCTAGCGGGCCCTGGCGGAGGAGCAGGGCCTCCTTCTCCAGCAGCGCCGGCAGCGCCGCGGAGGCTCCGCTTCGGGTGAAGGGGCCACTGCCATCTCGAGCTGAATCTGCCGGCGGCAATAGGTTCTCGACCCCCTGCAGGTTGGAGGCGCCCACCTGATCAACTTCCACCAGCAGCCGCGACGTCTCGCTACCAGCGCGGTGCTGATGAGGCGCAGCCGAGCCCGGATAAAACTCCGGGGCCATGCTCCCAGTTGCGCCCGTGCACCCCGAATACCCCAGCCTGGTCGACCGGCGCGAGATATTCCGCCGCAAGCCTCGGGCCCTGAAAACCCAATCATCATAGTTCACCTGCGAGTGCAAGGCAAGCGCCTCCTTCAATATGATATATCGCTTGCCCTTCCGAAATTGAGCACCTGCGATGCGACCGCCCCGCTCGGCTGCCCGGCGCTCCTTGAGCCGCGCCTCGCGCTCGCTCACGCTCACCTTCGCGGCCCAGATGACCGCGCCATTCACTTCCGCCACAGCCGAGTCACCAATCTCCAGAAAGCGTTTCGGGTCGTCCACGAATCTCCTGCAACACGACCTCGCCCAGACAGCCCAGACCGGGGCCGGCGCGGAGCCACGCCATCTCGGGAGCCTCCGTGTCCTCGCCACCGTCGGCCAGCACCCGCGCCTGCGCGCGCGCGAGCTGAAGGTAGCGGTCCAACTCGGCCCTCGTGATGGGGTCGAAGCCGAAGATCTCATTCCGATTCGCTCGGATAGTCCATGCGGCATTTCGCCCTAGATCGATGAGCCTGTTCGTGCTGAAGACGTGGGCTACAAGTCCAGCGTGGGAATGAGGCACGCCCATGTGCCATCGCCACCTGCTCTCACCAAGAGGGTACGCATGCGCCAGTAGAAGCCGTTGTCCTCGTCGGGGGAATTCACGACTACTTGAAATTTTACGAGAAGGGGTGGCCACCACCGTCATGTCGGCACTTGCTTGACTACTACCGCCTCACCAGGCGGCGCCTAGACTTCTAGAACAGCTCGGGAAGACTGCGCCGTCTGATCTGCTGATGCTGCCGCCGCTCGTAGGCAGCCGGGCACCAGTGCCAAGCTCTGAGCAGCGCCACGCCCGTCAGGAAGGCCGTCGAGAGGCCCACCCAGTCCCGTTCCTGCACCACGGTCTGGCGGGTGCCGGCGGGCCCCGCATAATTCAAGGCGCACCTGATCGCAGGGCACGCGCACCACGGGCACTCGTGGCAGGCAAGGCCGCCAGTCACTGCGGCCTCCAGCAACCGAACAGCGGGAGGCGCCAGACCTTTCGGCGCTTCGAGCACAAAAGGACAACGGGGACGAGGAGAGCAAAACGCCAAACGATAAAGACGTGTTGAATTGCACAACGTATACATAAGCATTTACAAAACTACATATATGCATGAGTATCTACATACATACATGTGTACATACATACATACATTGCATACATACATACATACATACATACATACATACACATACACATACATACACATACATACACATACATACACATACCTACACACCTGCAGGCATGCATGCATACAGACAGACAGACAGACAGACAGACAGACATGCATGCATACAGACATACATGCATACATACATATAGACATACATACATACATGCATACATACATACACACATACACACATACATACATGCATACATACATACATACATACACACATACACACATACACACATACACCCATACATACATACATACATACATACATACACACACATGCATACATACATACATACATACATACATACATACATACATATGGCACATATTCTGTTCCAATGTAGTAGCTATGCATGATGTAATGATTGCTAGCATGCACGTGTGTGTGTTGCTTGCTTGCTTGCGGTACATACTTGCGTGTAGGTGCGCGCGCGCCCGCTGCCTGTTTTGACTCAAACTGATTCGTAGGGGCCCCTGAGCTGATATTAACTACGAGCGGATCTTATCGATCGCAATCTATCCAATTTCATATTCGGTTTGGAACTTTGTGTGTTCAGACTTCGGTGGTTCTATTGAGTGCTACCGACATTGGTAGCGGAGCTACGGCTCCAGGTCCACGGCCCGACCGATAACGTCCGCTCTTGATTTTCTCCCAACAGAGTCGAGAGATGCGGCCCAACGGTCAACCAGGACCGGGACGCGCACGAGGTGAAGGGCGTGGCGGTGGCGACGCTGGACGAGGAAGAGGCCAGCAGGAGGAACGTCGCCAAGCCGAGGAGCAGGAAATACCAGACGACGACAGCGAGCTCCTCGGAGGAGGAGGTGGCCGAGGACGACAGGGTGAACGGCCACCACAGATGGACGCGGGCTTGGCGAAGTGCTGCCCGGATGCGACGGACCTCAGCCACGCGACGTACAGGAACTTTCGACGGAGAGCGACGGTGTTCCAGAGGTTGTGCGCGCGCCGAGGCGCGCCAGTGGTGAGTGAGGGCGCCTACTTGCTCCTGCAGAGCCTGCAGGGCGACGCATGGGACGCCTGTGATGAGATAAGTTTCGAGAGGATGGACACCGCAGAGGCATTCGACGAGATTTTTGAGAAGTTGGACGTGCTGCACAGGTACACGCAGGAGGTCGAGTTGCCAGGAAGATGCGACGGATTTTTCGGAGAGTTCGCGCGGCAGCCGAAGGAGACGCTCAACGCGTACGTGCTCAGGCATGGCAAGGAGCTGACGAAGCTGCGCGAAGCGGGACTTGAGCTGCCAGATCTACTGGCAGGATGGCATATGATGACGCGAGCGGCGATTCCCCAGTGGCAAGTACCCAACCTCAAGGCGCTGTGCAACAACAGGTTGACGGTGCAGGTGGTCACGGAGAGCCTGAAGACGATGTTCGGAGGCGACAGCGTGGCGCACAAGAAGGACATCGATCGCGTGAGAAGTACTTATCACGGACGAGGCAGTCGAGAAGAAGGCTACTGGATGGAAGATTACTAAAAAGAAGACGATGATGCTTACTATGAGGACGAGTACGACCCGCATGAAGAGTATCAAGAAGATGACGAATGGTACGAGGATGACGAGGAAGTGCCGGAGGATCTCGAGAACGCCTACGAGGCTACCGAGGAGGCCTACGCAGCGTATGCGGAGGCTCGAGCTAAGATGAACGAGTTGGCAAAATCCCGAGGATTCTACCCCGTGGTGGCGCTGATCGACGAGAAGCGTGGACTACCCCCTCCAAGAGTTGGAAATGCCAGGCCGCCAAAAGGAAGAGGACGCAGCAGCAGCGGCAAAGCGAGAGGCGCGCAGAAGGGCAAGCAGAAAGGACGATACGGTGGACGAGCACCCTTCGGCGGTGGCAAGGGTGGCAAGCATTTCGACGGCAGCCCGAAGACGACGCATACTGGATCTACGCAGCAACACGGACCAAGGTTCAAGCGGCGACGAGATGGAGCACCCGCCAAGCACGACGAGGACGCGAAGATGCTGTACGAGATCGGCACGGACAACAAGTTGACTGAGATTGCGCCCAGTATGGAGACGGCGCACGGATTACAACTCGAAGAAGTGAATTTGGCTACGGGCAGAGGAGTTGGCGACAGTGGAGCTACGAAGCCAGTCATGGGACTCGACGAGTGGCCGAAGTGGCGCAAGAAGTTGACGGACATGGGCATGGCCGACCAGATCACGACGGAGCGGTGCCAGAAGACATTCCGGTTCGGCAACGATGCTACGGCGACGGCAAAGCAGATGGTTACGTTCCCAGTCTGGGTTCGCAAGACGAGGCGCGAGATCACGGTTTACCTGGTGCCGGGCAAAGTTTCTCCTTTGGTGGCTCGGCCGTGTCTCGAAGAATGGGGCATCGTGGTGGACTACCGCAACAAGAAGGCGATGTACCTGGACGAAGAACCGCAGACGTTGAGCGACATCGAGACAAACGAGAAAGGCCACATGATCCTGGACCTCTTGAGTTTCCCAGAGGACGCGCTGGAGATCAAAGAGGAGTCTAGCTCGACGGACGCCGACACGGACGGAGATCACGAGGTCAAGAGCGAAGAGGAGATAGATTTCTACGTGACCAGCACTCATGGCGAGGAGAAGGAGGACGCGGAGACGACGAACTTCGACGCCGAGCAGCTGAAGGACTGGTTTACGAAGGTTAACAGGACGCTCGACGAGAAACCCAAAGTTAAACGCAAGTTCTGGGAGATTTTTGTCAATGAAGGACGTATTTCACAGTATGTCGAGCAGCATGGCGACTTCAAGACGGACAAGTATACGTTGGACACTGGCTGGGATTTCACGAGGAAGTCACATCGCGAAGCGTTCTTTGATAAATTACGACGTGAAAGGCCAGAGGAAGTTTGGATTTCACCGCCATGTACGCTGTGGTCTTCGATCAACACGCTGAACGACGCGAGCAAGGACAACAGATATCGGCAGCAACGCAGACGAGAGCGAGAGAAGCAGAAGAAAGAGTTTCTGAAGTTCAGCCGGGACATCTACGACGAGCAGCAGAAGAACGAGAGGAACGCGCATTTGGAGCATCCCAGATACGCGACGTCGTGGAGCGAGGACGTCTGGCAGGACATGGAAGGATACGACACGTTCGTGGACCAGTGCGCGCACGGGCTGAAGGCGCTGGACCGCGACGGGCGCAGGATCGGTCCGATCAAGAAGCCCACGAACGCGCGGACGACCAAGTACAAGATGCACGAGGGACTCTGGAGGCGTTGCAGCTGTAAGGAGAAACACGTTATGCTGGAAGGAGCTCACAACATGCGCGGAGTGGAGAACTACCCGAGGAGTATGGCGTTTCAGGTGGCAATCTGCATCGTGGACGGCCCGCAGAACGAGTCAAGCTACGCCGTGGAGGAGATGACGCAAGAGGAGTTTGACAAGATCGAGTACAAAGAAGTTTGGAAGAATTTACTTGAGAAGTTCACGCTCGACGAGGTCAAGTGGGTTGAGAAGGTGCATGTGCAGATGGGTCACCCATCGAGCGAAGCGTTGGCGGCAGCACTCAAGGAGATGAACGCGGATGATCGTTTGGTGAGCTGCGCGCGGTTTTATATTTGTGAGATATGCTTGAAACGACAGAGGCCTAAACCAGTACGGATCGCCAGGATTCCAAAAGATAGAGGTTTCAACGACACGATCGACATAGACACTTTTCACGTGAAGTGGAACGACAAGCACAAGCTGATGTTTACGATTATGGACGAGAGCTCGCGATACGAGGTCGACACGGTGGTGCCAGACGAAAAAGCGAAGACCGAGATAAAGGCGATCGAGAAAAACTGGATCAATTGGGCTGGTGTGCCAGTGCGCATTCGGGCTGATCAAAGTGGTGCGCATGTGAGTGAGGAGTTTTCGGAGTGGTGCGACACGCGGCAGATAAAATTGCAGCTCATACCGAGAGACGCTCATCATCGACTCGGGATCCTTGAAAGGAATCACCAAGTACGACGAGAGCAGATTGCCAAGTATCACGAGGACCGACCGGACGACAGCCTGAAGGTTACGGTGCGAGTGACGTGCGACATGAGGAATCGGCTACGTAACGTTCGAGGGTTTACTCCAGCGCAGCGTGCGCTAGGACGGCAGCCCAGAGATCTGGGCCACATGGCGGACGAGCCGACGACGATGGGCGATCTTGGAGAGCACGACGAGGGATTCTACCAGAACCTGGGTCGCAGGCGAGACGCGGCCAAGGCCTACTTCGCGGCGAATATGTCGAGGGCAGTGCGAGAGGCTTTAGCGGCTCGCAACAGACCCTTAGCGAAGGAGTTCCAGATCGGCGAGTACGTCTACTTCTGGAGGCGCGACAAGGGCGAGAGCGACTTGATCAAGAGTTATTGGAAGGGACCGGCGATGGTGACGCAGGTCGAGTACACGGACGACCCCGACAAGCTGAGGCAGTCAGTCATCTGGCGCGCGCATAACAACACGCTGCTCAGGACGACGCACGAGTTGCTGAGGCCAGAGCTACCAGAGGAGCGGCGACAACGCGAGGAGGCAGATGATGATTTCGGTCTACCCTTGTCGACGGCGGAGAGATTGCTCAAGAAGTTGAAGAGCACGACCGGCTCCATCAAGTACAAGGATTGCGTTGGCGACGCGCTCGGGGACCCAGAGGACCACGTAGACGACGGACGGCCCGAGGGCATGGACATGGACGCTACAGGCGTGGACACTGATGGCAAGGTGGAGGAGCCAGTCGAGGAGCGTGCTCATCATGACGAAAGGACGGGGAGCAGCGAAGAAGCCGAGCCAGCCGAGCGCGAGGTGAAGGAGGAGCAGCCGCAATCAGCGGCGGCCGAGTCTCGACCGAAACCGATCCACCGGAAGCCGATGGCGGGCGAGAACCTCATCTCGAGGCACCAAGCCAAGAGAAAGAAGAGGACGCTAAACCGGAGGCCATAGTGGAGAAGCGGAAGGTGGACGACAGGGACGAGTTACTGGAGAGCATTAATGCGGCAAGACGGCTCGACGGGCTCAAACCGTTGGCTAAGAGACCAAGGATAACACCGATGGAGACAGAGACCATCAAGACGGACACAGGCGACGACGAGCTGCTACTGCTGTGCGAGGACGAGGAGATGATCTACCTCACGAACGCGGCGAAGCGCGACGCTGTGGTGGAGGCCAGGCTCACGCCGGACGAGAAGGTGCAGTTCGACGAGGCCAAGACCAAGGCATTGCTACCCTGGATCGAGAACCAGGCGTGGCAGGCGGTGAACGAGGCGTCGGCGGGAGCTGGCGAAGTGTGTCCGATGAGGTTTCTGTTGAAGTGGAAGATGAAGGACGGAGTTCGAGAGGCAAATGCGCGAGTGATTCTTCAAGGATTTCACTTGGAGGAGGTGACGAGCACTAACGTGGAGAAGGCAAGCCCTACTCTGACGAGGCTCGCGAGGTACCTCATCCTGCTCATCCTGTGCCAGCAGTCGTGGAAGATGGTGGCAGCTGACGTGAAGAGCGCATTCCTCCAGGCCAAAGACATTCGTGAGCAGGGAGTGCGCATTTTCAGCAGACCGACGAAGGACATCCGAAGGAGGTTGGCGAAGATGATGGGCCTAAAGGACGACGAGATATTGCAGATGCTGAAGCCAGCTTTCGGGGATGTTCGCGCTCCCAGGCAGTGGAATCAGACGATCACGGAGGCCATGATCGACATCGGATTTCTTCAACACCAGTTGGATCGGTGCTGTTTTCTGTCGTACCGCATCGCGGCCGACGGCGACGACCCCTTTCTGGTGTGGAGCGCAGACGACGGACAGAACTACGTACTGGACGGTATTTTGGGTTTACACGTGGACGACTTCATCGGTGGCGGCGAGAACTTGGAGTGCGAGGCCGACCTGACCGACAAGCAGGCCTACGAGGGCACGTTCCTGGACAGGGTGCAGACTCTCAGCAGGCGCTTTAAGTTCGGCAAGTGGGAGTTTCAGAACGGTATTGTTTTCTGTGGCATGGAGACCACGCAGTCGCAGTCAAGGAACGAGATCGAGGTCAAGGCCGAGCAGTACATCCACAAGGTGAAGCCGATTAGCATCGAGAAGGTACGCCGCCAGCGCCCGGACGATTTGTGCACGCCGAAGGAGATAAGCCAGCTACGAGGACTTAATGGAGCTATGCAGTGGCCGGCATCTCAGTGCGTGGTGCAGGCGGCGGCGACAGTTTCTTTTGCCCAAGGTGACGTGAGCAAAGCTACGGTTGGAAGTTTGCTGGAGGCCAACAAGTCATTGCGGTTCCTGAAGGCGAGTGGCGACGTGGGCATCCGTATTCGTTACGTGTCCAAGTGGGAGCAGTTACGACTTGGAGTGTATTGGGACGCTTCATGGGCAACAAGACTTAACGGAGAGTCGCAAGGAGGCTACATGATCTTCGCGATCGAGGACGACAGGATCGACGACGGCCAGGCCACGTTTTTGGTTATCATCGATTGGACGAGCAAGAAGTTGGTTCGCATTTGCAGGAGTTCTCTGTCCGGGGAGGCTCAGGCGGCGGCCAACGCGGTGGACGCTCTGGAGTTCGCGAAGACGATGCTGACCACGATGCTCTACCCCAACATGCAGCTGACGGGGCCGGACATGTTGCAGGTGCTAGGGCGAAGCCCGCGCATCACAGACTGCAAGCCGCTCTACGACGCAGCCAATTCTCAGGCGCCAGCCGGTGGCCTGACGGAGCGCAGGACGGGCATCGAGATCGTGCAAGTGAACGAGAAGATGAAGGAGTTCGGCGGAGTGTGGAGATGGACGAATACACATCAGCAGATGGCGGACGGGCTGACTAAGTTGCAGGTGCGGCAGCAGTTCGTGGAGAAGCTGAGGAGAATGACACACGCGCTGAAGTACGACGCAACGTTCACTGCAGGCAAGAAGGTCAGCCAGCAAGAGCGTAACAAGAACGAGCAGGAGCTGAACCATGCGGCGGCCGACTTCGACGAGGCGAATGCAGTGGACCAGACACCAGATGAAGTGCCAGCGCGAGAGATGGTCAAAGCGACGAGGGCAGGTACCAGGACAGCACAGAGACTCGCGGCGCTGGTGGCGATCACGGCGGCTACGACGACAAAAGCAGAGGAGACATGCCCAAGCCTGGACATCAACGAGACGCAGTGGATCTACGTGACCGTGCTCACGATGTTGCTGGTTGTGATGGTGCTGGTTTGCGGCTGTTGTTTGTGTGTGACGTGCTACATCAAACGGGCGAATGAGCGATTCTGGAGAACAAATAACGAGGAGATGAAACGCTGTTTGAAAGATACGCCAGACTCATGCGGAGACGACAACGCCGAGTATATGCAGATGAAGATAAAGATGAGTGAGCAAGCCGACGAGATCGAGCGCTTAAAAGAGAAGAACGAAGGGCAACGGACTAAGATCGAAGAGAGAGCCAAGCAGATAGTCGACATGCAGCCAGACATGGAGAAGCTGATGACGGATTTCGAGCAGCGCGGCAAGAGCTTGGCGGCCTACGAAGAGAAGTTGACCAAGACCGAGAAGCTACTGAAGGACGCTAATGAGGAGCTTGGATTGTGCTATAAAAGGCTGTCGGCGCTGAACGGTTCGAACGACAAGTTGGAGCGGCAGCTGAATAACGTGAAGAACGAGCTACGGCAGATGACGCTGAGAGCTCGAGACGTGCCGGAGCCCAAGCGGATGAGGTCGGCGAACACTCAGTCACAGTGTACGTATCGACGAGATCTAGCCACGCCGAGGTTTCAGGTGATACAGTCGATGAACGAGCCGACGGTGATCACGACGGAGGAGTTTACAGCAGGCTCCCCATCGGCGAGCTCGAGCAGTTCATGAACGGCGTGGTGATGGTCATCGTATGTGGGACCTACGATATTCAGGAGACCAGGGCACATCTCTCGACTCTGCAGTTGAAACGGTGCAGGTTTTCTGATTTTTCTTGAGTTGATTTAGGTATGGCAGCGCGTGTGTATTTGTAGTATACTGAGGAATCGGGGCTTAAAAGCTTCTTTTCTTCCCCCTGTGTCAATGGCACAGATTCTGTTCCAATGTAGTAGCTATGCATGATGTAATGATTGCTAGCATGCACGTGTGTGTGTTGCTTGCTTGCTTGCGGTACATACTTGCGTGTAGGTGTGCGCGCGCCCGCTGCCTGTTTTGACTCAAACTGATTCGTAGGGGCCCCTGAGCTGATATTAACTACGAGCGGATCTTATCGATCGCAATCTATCCAATTTCATATTCGGTTTGGAACTTTGTGTGTTCAGACTTCGGTGGTTATATTGAGTGCTACCGACATACATACATACATACATACATATATACATACATACACACAAACACACACATATATATATATATATATATAAACATATATAACATATTTAACATAAATAACATAAATACATGTACATGGACATGTGCAACTACACATTAACATATACATGTACATAAACATACACACATGTGTACTAGAACCATCGCGCGCGCTCAGGTTCTAGCAGGCCCCAGGCCTTGGGCGGTCTTGAGGGTTCCGTGAGCCCAACAGGCCGACCCTTTTGGGCCGTCTGGGGTCCTCTTGGGTCTCTCTTGGGCTGTGCTGGGGCTCCTCGGGGGCGTCTGGGGCACTGTGAAGACGAAGCCAGCGAGTATGCCGAAAACGCACGTTGTACTAAGGAAATGGGCCGATGTGTGCCTCTTCTAGGCCCTCTTGGGGCCCTCACGGGCCCTCTTGGGGCTCTCTTGGTCGTGGGCGTCTTCGGGGCCGCTTGAGGCTTTCTTGACCATCTGTACAGCCCGCGTGGCCTGTCGTGGGCAATTTGGAAGCGGCCCAGGTCAGTCCCGGGGGCTCTCTGACTCCCCAAAAGTTTGGGGTGGCGGCCATGGGGGGTGACGGCACCGATTTCGCCCCCCCCCGACCTCTTGGGGCCGAGGGCCCGAAAAGTCCGTTCGGATCCCGCGTCTGGGCCCCTTCTTGGAGCCGTCTTGGGGGCCTTTTGCGCCGTCATGGGGGCCTTTTGGATCGTCTTGGGGTTGTCTTGGGCCGTCTTGGGGCCGTCTTGTGGGCGTCTCAGGCCGTCTTGGGGCGGTCTTGGGGGCCCCCTGGGCGGTCTTGGAGCGTCCGGTCGCCGAAAAGGCGAGAATCCAAAAAACCTTCAAAAACCATTGAACAATCAATGAATGTTGCCTCTTGGGGTCCTCTTGGGACGCCTCTTGGAGGCTTTTGGCGCGTTTTGGAGGCCACTTAAGCCGTCTTGGGACCATCGTGGGCGTCTTGGAGCGATTTTTGGGGGCTCGGGGCCCTCTTGGACCATCTTGGGCGCCTCCTGGGCCCGTCTCCAAACTGTCCTGGTCCGTTTGGGGGCCGTCTGGGAGCCCCTGGGGACGGCCAGGGGAAGGAACCACGCATATACAAGGGTGGTCGTTGCCTGGGGCCCGGGGCCCGGGGTCTCCCATATATGTATGTATGTATGTATGTATGTATGTATGTATGTATGTGTGTGTGTGTGTTTGTTTGTATGTATGTATGTATGTATGTATGTATGTATGTACATATGTATATACACGCATATGCATAAACATAGGCATGGACATACGCTTGCACAGCTTCGTAGCAGTATACATATAGAAGCACCTTGGCATGTACACATACATATACATATACATAGACATATACATATACATACATATATATATATATATATATATATATATATATATATGTATATATACACATATATATACATATACACATACACATACATATACCTATACCTATACATCTTCATATACATATACATATACATATACATATACAGACACATGTACATATGCATTGACATACGTGTACAGAAACACTGCATGAACAGATTCGTTTACATATTCCTAAACATACACATATACATACACATACGCATATCCATAGCTGGGTACATATACATGTGCATATGCATAGACTTGTGCGTTGAAATCTGCATTTGCATTTGCAACGCATGATACATGAACGTATGCATGTACCTATTCATGTCCAAGTGCATCTACATATGTTTGCATACGCACATAAACTTGTAGATATATACATATGAAAATATGAAAATGCATAACAAGCCACCTATACCTATGCGTACTTGTATACATACATATGTGTACATACACATTCACAAACTGATACACATACATGTAACCATACATACACATGTGTGTATACATATTTACATATACATAAGCATATGCAAACATACGAATGCGAGAACATATACATACGCATGTATACATATAAATACACATTCATCGGAAGGTGCATCTACAACCGCGTATGCGTACACATGTACATAGTCACAGACAAAAGTATAGGTATGTGCGTGTTCAATTCCATACATATATACATATGCACCTGCAAACACATATACATACACATGCAAATATGCACATACATATACACATGCAACTACATATACACTTACATATACAGACACTTACACATAAACATATGAATGCACACATACAAATACATAAACAGAGTTCCGAGCGCCATTAATTCCACTCTTGGCCAGAAGCAATTTGTCGTGGTGACTGCACTGCCCTGCTCAGGCAGGAATCCCGCGACTCATATTACTTGGTTCAAAAAAAGACAAGTCTTAGAGACGCATGAATCCCCCGCAAACACAGGGGATCATTGGCAAAGAGGGCGCGGTGGGAGCCTATGAACCCCAATGGAGACGGAGGAGGACAGAGGGAGGGAGAACGGCCCCAGGGGGGGACGTTTGCAAGCACTCTAGCCTCAGATCTCACAACGGCCAGGCGTGAAGACACTTTGCACGGAGCTTAGACGATACGGGTCGTATCACAAGCTCCGAGCGCCATTCATTCCACTCTTGGCCAGAAGCAATTTGTCGTGGTGACTGCACTGCCCTGCTCATGCAGGAATCCCGCGACTCATACTACTTGGCTCAAAAAAGACCGGTCTTAGAGACGCATGAATTCCCGAATCGCCAACATTTATCACTGGAGGCAGGGGCTATCAACACAAACACTGCTAAAACGAGCTAATGCGCGAGCGGCCAGGGCGTTTCTGAAACATTGTGCCAGGTGTTTGCAGAGGGCAGGCGGGTACGGCTCGGCTATGTGCGCACGGAAGACGCCGTTGATCTCGCCACTCAACTCAACGCGCGGCTAGCCTGTCCTCGAACAAATACCGCGGCCCTGGCACTTACGCTCACTAGCCGACAGGTCGACATGTACGGCAACAAGTTGAATCCTTTTTCTCCAAAGGCGATTGAACATGCAGAAACCGGTTATGTAGATCGAGGCTGTCTTCAGCGCTAGGATGTGCTTCGCGGGAGGGCATATCCACAGGCGGCCGATGGCGGGTTTCTCGAGCGCCGCAGGTATCACCAGTCGCGAAGACAGCCGCAACACAGAGCACGATAACGTCGGAAGGGCGTTGCCAACCGTCACCTTATACTGACCTACATCTCTGAAGTCTGGAAGTCCCATGGGGCGATCATCACTGCGTAGGCGTGGCGGGCCGTCGGGCTTGTCGCGAGCCCGCGAGCAGCTGGATCACTGCGTGCACAACCGCACGGCCGCCACCTGACCGCACATGATCCACCCGCGGATGCGCTTCTGCACGCTGGGCACCGTTGCATCACATTGGTCTCCGTGCTTCAGATCGAACTCTACATGGGCGCGCCTATCTGCTGACGCCACGCTTGAGAGCCCACTGCCAGCAAACATCTCCAAGGCGAAACAAACCGATATGCAAGTCGCCTTCAGTAAAGCCAGCGCCCGGCCTGGATGCTGCCAATCTGCGCGGCGCATTGGGGCGCGGCCTGGCGCGCGCCGGGGGAATTGGGGGCTGCCCAGTTGCCGCGACGCTGGATCTCGAGCATCGCGCGGCGGCCGAGGGCGCAGCCCAGGCCGGCCCCCGCGCGCCGAAGGCCGTAGAGGGTCGACGGGCCCAGCGGCTCCAGCCCCAGCCCCAGGCCGGCTCGGCGGCACTCCCGCGCCCAGGTCGGGTAGTCGAAGCCGAACAGCTTGCGCTCCGATCCCTCGCCGGGCCCGCTCAGCCGGGCCGGCGCGGGGGCCGGGAACTGGTGCTCGTCGAGGTCGAGCATTCGCGAGTCGCCCCGGCGGTTTGTCTTGGACGGCCGCCCGAGCTCCATGGGATGCAACACGAAGGCCCACCTCCGCTGGAACGATCGACCGTCCACCAGGGGCGGCACCAGCTGGCGGGCCCCCAGGCCCAGGAGCTCGCTGGGGCACAAGTAGAAGACCACGCACATGACTATCGCCACCGCCATCCCCCACTGGCCCTTGCGCACAAAGAAATCCGCCAGCAGACAAACCACCTCCCACGGAGTGGGCAGGCGCGACTGGCTCGGCGCTCGCACGCACCAGCAGCGGAGGGCCTGACGCAAGCGCGCCAGCCTCGCACCTCGCTGGCGGCTGACCTCTGGGCGCAGGTAGCACGCGGCACAGACCAGGCGGCTCCCTAAACTCGAGTGGAACCCCTCGAAATACTTGCAATCGAAGTAGTCCATCATCGCTGTCTCGAGGTCGTCCTCCGACTCGATCGGCAACTTCTGCGCTAAGGCCCACTCCTCGAAGGCCGCCCAGCTCGCCTGGCACAGCTTGCGCGCGCGTGGTCTGACACTCTCCGGCTGCAGAAAGCTCATGCGGACGACGGACGAAGGCCGCGGGTGCCGCGTCCATCGCCCAGCGCCTGCGGGCTGGCCCCCGAGCTGCCGCCGCTTTGGCCCTGCTGCGTCGGCCCCGCCGCGCAGGCGCCATCGCGGGCATCTCCGAGCGCCCGGAAGAGGCAGGGGCGGCACCCCGGCCCCTCGCATGGTCGCTCCGCGCCGGCGCGCGCGCCCGCGAGGGCGTCGCTGCGCGCCGCGGCCGCGCGCCGCTGGCCGAGGGCGGCGGCGCCCGGGTCAGGAAGGGCAACTCGCGGCCGCCATCCGCCCGGCCCGCCAGCGAGCCCGCGCCTCGATGGGAGCATCCGCCGAATTGAGCTCGCTGGGGATCCAGCGCACAGTGGCTACGCAGCCCGACACCAGCAGCGACGACGCCCACGTCCGCACCGCCCTCAGCATCCCGGGGGCCGAGCTCCGGCCCTTCGATACAGCCGAGGTGGCAGACGTGGAGTCTGACAAGAAGAGGAGCCTCCGACCCCGCCAACGCGCGTTGCGAGGTTGATGCCGAAGACCCCAGAGCGTCGCCCGGGTCTCAAGCGCGGGCATACCTTCAGAGCGCGTCCAAGAAGTGAACACACCACAGACCACTTCCCTTTGACGAGCCTCTCAGGGACCAGCGGCACGCGATCGTCCTCCACGATCCCCCAGTCCGCCTTGCCGCCCGCGGCGGCGCCCGGCTCAGCGTCTCCGTCGCGACCCCCGGGAGCGCGACGGCCGACCAGGGCCTCCTCGATGAGCTCAGCGGCCTGCTGGCGGGCCCCTCCAGGCCCTCCCCGAAAACGCCGCCAGTCCGAATACTTCTTGGCCTCCACGATGTCGCCGCCCTGGCCCCCCTCTGAGACGGTGACCCCGCAACCCCGCTCCGACACGTCATTCGACGCCACCACGGGGCAGACAGAGGCCGACAGGTCTCTCCAGCAGAAGCACGCGAGGTGCGAGGCCCAACGGAGCCCCCTGCGAACCACATCCCAAAGAGGTACCCACTCATGTCGATGTCTAGCGATAAACGCGTACACCGCGTCGAAGCAGCACAGCAACTCCCGACGCATCAAGAAAGCGCGCGCAAAGTGCCCCACGAGGCCCTTAAGATCCTTCCCAGAGAGCCTAGGGCGACTGAAAGCATATTGAAGGGCTAAGCGGATCCTCCAGACACGCCTCTCCTGAGCGCACGCCACTGGCCGCTCACTCGAGAAAAACCACCCTAAGGCCTCCCCCCCAGGTCCAGCTTCGACGGGGCGAGCCCGCAACCCGTGTAGGCGCAGCTCTTCGGCCGCGCTCTTGGCCGCGGCCCGGGCGTTTCCGGGGGCCTGGGAGAGGGCCGCAAAGTTGTCGCCGCACTCGGAGTGGGCGATGGGGGGAAAGCGGAGGAGGCCGACGGCGATCCTGGATCCTGCAATCTACCCCAAGACCTGGGGCCCGGGAACCGATGTCCTCGAGCACCCTTCGGCGCCAATTCAAAGCGTGGGCCCGCCCCACCGCCAGAACGCAAATAAGCGGATGCACGAGAATACTCGGTGAGACCTGAGTCCCTTCAACGGTGACCGACACGCCGACTCTACCTGCACGGACCGGCGCGAGACCGAAGCATGGGCGAAACTCCACAGGCAATGCAAGCTGATAGAACGCATCCTGCACGTCAGTCTGACCAAGCTCCACAGCGAGGTCAGCCGCAGCAGGGAGGCGTGCAAACGAGTCTCCAGAGGCCAGTCGGGTCTGGGGAAGATCTCTAAACCAACAGTTCGAACGGCGAGCGTCAATGATGAGGCGCTGCTTCCCGCTCTTTTTCCAGACACTGAAAAACCCACAAGTCTCGACCGCGTCGAGAGAGTACTCAATCATTCCTCTGCTTGACAGAAGGGCCATAGGCCGCTCGTACTCCCGAGGCCGATGCAAAAGAAGGCCAGAATAAGGGCGGCGCGGGGCCCCCTCGAGCCCCAGACGCCCATCTCCCTGATCCTTTGGCAAAAGAAAATCTGTCACAAAACCGCGAACCTCAGAACGGCCATCGCGCAGCAGCTGGCCCAGGTCGACAGGCGCGCCGGCCCCGCCCAGGCTGAGCAAGCCCATGTCCATCGGCGCCACAGCCACAGAAGCACCCTCGTAGCCGTGGTTGGCCCGGAGCTCATCGAAGGCCCCCTGGCAGGTGAGGTCGGCAGGCAGCCGGCCCCACCGATCGACGCTGGCTCTCACGTTCGCCATGCCGAAGTCGTCCGCACACGACCGGAAGCGGGAGGAGGCGCTGCTCACAGTGTCCTCGCACTGATAGCCTCCAATCTCATTCAAAGAACGGGCCACGTCAGCGCGCCGCTGGTCGGCGTGAGATCGGGCCTCGACGCGGCGCCTGATCTTCCGGCTGACGTCGCGCATCCCAGGCCCCGCGGGGCTGAGGAAACCCTCGGCATGAAGAGGTAGCGCATCACGCTGACCAAATCTCACCAGACTGCTGCAGTCGCTGGCGCTCACCCTGCGGCTGACGGGCGCGCAGGTCGGGGTTATCCTGCCGCCCTCTCGATGGCCTAGCCGTCTTTGCGCGAGAGGCGAGCCTCCTCCCGCGCCCTACGCATCTGCTTCGCAACGCCGGCGTCCTTCTCGATCTCATTGGAGACCCACTCCACCCGCTCAGGACAGATCATCACCTCGCCTCCGAGCCCGTGGGAGCCCGTGAAGTAGGCGGCCTCCTCGCGCGACAGCCCAGCACTCTGCCCCTCGCGGCCGGCCGCCTTGCCCTTCATCTCGTAATGGTACTCGATGAGCTGGCATCTCCGCAGGATGACCTCTATGCCCACCAGGTTGGGGAGGTCGATCTGGTCGCACGCCCCGAAGAGATGGAACGCCCCCATCCCGTGCTCGTGCTCCTGGACGCCGAAATCCAAGCCCTGCAGGCGCAGATGGCCGACCCACCAACGGTGGTTGTCAACTGGGCCTCCTCCCCAGCGGTCCACGAACCGCGTGCACCAGTCCACGGTGCGCGGCCTTGGCAGCGGCCGGTCCGGGAACGAGACCTGGGCCATCTTCGAGATTGTCTCCCGCCAGAGCCGCTGGCGAACGCTCGTCATGTTGAACGCCACCAGCAGCACTCGAGCGTCGAGGTTGCCGTCCCCAGCGCTGCGCCGACTGGCCGCCCGCGCGAGGTAGCCCTCCCGAGACTCGTCCTCGAGCAGCCTCTCCACGAACACTAAGGCCCCGTCCGGCACCTGCGCGACTCCGATCCGAGAGTCACCGGACAGGCGCGACGCACCCCTGACCGTGATGGGCTCACCTGCCTTGCCGTCGCTGCACTCGACGGCGATCACCCAGCGTCCAGGCGGGCTCGGCGACTCTAGCGGCGGCGGCGGCAGGGACGGCGGGCCTCGCGGGGTCGCAGGACCGCCGATCGGGTCGAAGCCCCCCAAGTCGCTGCCGCCCGCCGTCGGGGCCGGCGCGCGGAACCCCCGCGCGGCGTCCTCCTGGTCGCGCACCGTCTCCGCCTGCTGCGCCAGCCGCCGGAAGGCGTCGCCGTGGGGCATCTGGCCGAACCTGTAGCCGCGACCCCGCACCTGGGCGGGCTCCACACCTGGAATGTTCTCCCAGAGCACTTCCCTGATGTCCTCATTGACTGCAACGTCCTCTACATACATGTCGCCGTCGGGCGTCACCACCACCCACGCATCAGCGGACGACTGGAGCTGCTTCAAGAGCAACCTTTGATGATACAGAGCGGGTCCGCCCACTCTGTAGCGCAACCACGCCACTTGGAACCTCTCTTCGCGGTCCGCCATGCTCACCACGGTCGAGGCGAGCTGAACCCCACCGTCCGCAGCACAACACAACGGTCGCGAAGCCTCCCGTCACTCCCGCTCCAGTCACAACTCCCAGCAAAAAGAGGATCAGGCCACCACCGCTCTGCACGTCGCACCTCTCCGTCTCGAGCGCCGCTGGGCACTGGCTGGCGTGGCACGCCGGGCAGGGTGGGCAGGCGACGGGCTGCGGGCACGCCGCTGGCGAAGGGCAACTGACCGTCGGGCACGGTGCCGCCGGGCAGCGAAGCAGATGCGCCTGCGCGACCTGTGCCGCCGCCTGCAGCCCGGGCACCCAGAGAGCCACTGCCATCCGCCGCGAGCCCCCGCTCGCGCTCAGCCTATGAGCCCCAATGGAGACGGAGGACAGAGGGAGGGAGAACTTCCCCAGGGGGGGACGTTTGCAAGCACTCTAGCCTCAGACCTCACAGCGGCCAGGCGTGAAGACACTTTGCACGGAGCTAAGACGATACGGGTCATCCCACAACACATAACCATAATCATAACCAGAAACATGTGCAAATACATACATGCATGCCTGCATGCACGCAAACCTACGTACATAGAGAGAGAGAGAGAGAGGTGCTGACGTTTCTTTTGACATCCTGCCACCCCGACACACCCACGTCACACTTCATACCTCTCGTCCAATCCGCGGTCAACACAAGAGGCTGACCCCAGAAGCCCCTTCCCTTAGAGCCCTGGGCATCCGAGCAAGAGCGCGAGAGGGGTACCTTGAGGCGGGGGAGAGGAGTCTGGATCTTCACTGACGAACCATTTCAGACCCTTCCGCCTCGATAAGGAGTTCCCCTGACACGTGTTCCAGACCTCCGCCGTCCTTCCAAGACAACTCCAGATCAGACCTCCTCCGAAACCATCCCGCCCCACCACCCCCTCACTTCATCGTACAATCTAAAATGCAACCAACGTCTTTCCCCGAGGAACCTTGGATAACGACCGAACCTCCTATGGTGCCGCACGCGCGCCCAGATGCAAGAGCAACGCCAGGGGAAACCCCACAGAAGGAGCAAAAAAACATCGAGCCCCCTTATCGAAACCACAATGGGCTATGGTCGACACCGCGGGCGTGCGGGCTCGCGACTCGGGCCACACAAAAAAGAGGATAGCAAAGGAGGGCTTAACGAATCAGCTCACGTACACGTCGGTCGGAACATGTAGGTAAAGACATTAATATAGGGAGGCGGCCAAGGTAGATTGGGTCCACGCCCCCCCAGAGAATAACAAGACGCAGCAAAAGCATCGGAAGTTGGGGGGTGAGAACGCAATGGAACGGAGACCCCCAACCGGAAAATCGTTAGTTTCGTTCGTGTCGTGCGTGCGGGCGAGGCGAAACTGCGTGGGCGCGCGAGAGGAATGAACCCGCCGTTGCTAGGGCGAAGCCAAGACAAATGAGTCTCCCCCGTCCGTCCGTCCGTCCGTCCGGCGGTGGCCCTAGCGGTGTCCCGCGGTGTCCGCGGTGTCCCGTGGTCTCCCGTGGTGTCCCGTGGTGTCCGCCGATGCTAGGGCAAAGTCAAGTCAAATGATTCTCCCCCGTCGGTCCGTCAATCTGGCGGTGGCCCGCGGTGTCCCGTGGTGTCCCGTGGTGTCCCTTGGTGTCCCTTGGTGTCCGCCCCCGCCCGTCTGGCGGTGGCTCGCGATGGCTCGCGGTGTCCCGTGGTGTCCCGTAATGTCCTGTGGTGTCAGCCGTTGCTAGGGCGAAGTCAGGACAAACGATTCTCCCCCGCCCGCCCGCCCGTCCGTCCGTCCGTCCAGCGGTGGCTCGCGGTGTCCCATGGTGTCCCGTGGTTTCCCGTGGTGTCGCATGGTGTCCCGTTGAGTGAGACCGATCGTGAGATCGATAGTAAGATCGATACTGAGATCGATGTGGTGCTCCGAGGTGTCCAGTGGTGTCCCGTGGTGACCTCGATAGTGAGATAGATATAGTGAGATCGACAGGTGTCCCGTGGTGTCCCGTGGTGTCCCGTTGAGTGAGATCGATAGTGAGATCGATAGTGAGATCGATACTGAGATCCATGTGGTGCCCCGAGGTGTCCCATGGTGTCCCGTGGGGTCCCAAAAAATGAGATCGATAGGGAGATCGAAAATGAGATCGACAATTGTCCCGCCGTCGTGTCCCGTGGTGTCCCGTTGAGTGAGATCGATAGTGAGAACGATAGTGAGATCGATAATCAGATCGATGTGGCGTCCCGAGGTGTCCCGTGGTGCCCCGTGGTGTCGTTTGGTGTCCCGTTGAGTGACATCGATAGTGAGACTGATAGTGAGATCGAGAGGTGTCCCGCGGTGTCCCGTGGTGTCCCGTTAAGTGAGATCGATAGTGAGATGTAGAATGAGATCGACAAATGTCCCGTGGTGCCCGTGGTGTGCCGTGGTGTTCCGTGGTGTCCCGTTGAGTGAGATCGATAGTGAGATCGATTGAATCAGATGTTGGCTCCCCCCTCCCCCCACACAACCTCCTTATCACCCGAAGGGTGGTCATATAGGTATCGATCATCTGAATGGAAGCCGCCTAAAATAGACTGGGATCTTGCAATCGAAGAGCACCTACTTTCAACGACCGGCGTGTATCGAATCAGCTCACGTAGCTGGTTTCCCAAGCACCTCCCCGCGCCAGCGAGAGCCAATGTACCATGGACAAGTGACCAGCGGCGGGGCCGAAACCAGCCTGACGCAGCTGATTTCGCACCCTTCCATTGCGAAAAAATGACGACGGGAACCCTGGACTAAGACAAAATCAAGACAAGGATAAAGTTAGATAAAGATTAGAGCGTTCCGGAAAGCTCTGAAACGGATCTAGCATCTCCCTAGCCCCGTCCGCTGAACCTTGTGTTTCTGCTGCATGTGTCGAGCCGGATCGATTTGCGACGGCCTCGGGGCCCGCAACTGGGCGAAAACGCCCAGCTCGAAAAATCAAAGCATTAGGAGTTTCCCGTATCCCCAACCCTTGGTCCAGCCAAAACGGCGACCCCACAGGGGCCTGCGCCAGCAGCCGCGCTTGCTCCGCGTCCCAGCGCTCGCGCGCCAGCCGAGCGCTCTGCAGCGCGGGCTGCAGCCTGGAGAGCGCCGTGGCCGCCTCGGCCTGCAGGAGGAGGAGGGAAGAGGAGGGATGGGGGGAAAGGAGGAGGGGGAGGGAAGGGGGGGAAAGGGGGCGACGGGTGCGAGGGAGGGGGAAGGGGAGGGGGGGGGAGCGGGGGACAGGGAGAGGAAAGGGAGATCGCAACAGCTCGACGAGCTGAAATCCATGTGGCGCGAGGACTGCAAGCGCTGTCTGTCCGCGCCAATCTCATGTGGCAGGAGGTACCGCTGCGCAGACAGAGGTGGGGAAACTACCCTCCCCTTGGCGCGGTTTGTAGGGGCCACGACTGGACAGCAAGAGCGAAGCGTGGCGATAAGGGCGGAACTCGCCCTGTCTGCACACCCACAAACAGAGAGACGCCGGCTGCACACACGTTCTGGCATGCGTCATACGGCGCCCCGGCAGTTGCGGTGCCGCTTTGGGGCAGCACCCACAGCGGCCCAACAACAAGGCAGCGGCACCAGGAGGAAGACCAAAAAGTTCACGAACGCTACGGGGAGGAAGGGTGCTAGCACTGGTGTGCCGCGCGTTGAGCTGCAAGTGGCCGTTCACTGCTACCCGTGCCCTGGCGCGGCGTGACCAGCGCGAGCACCTGCCCGAGCACCAGCGACGCGTTCAGGCGCGGCTGCCGGGGGGAGATGGCCCCATGGCGGCGGGGGCTGGTGACGGTGGTCTGGGTGGGGGGATCGCGAGCCACCTGGTCCTGTCCATTGAAGGGGCGCGATTGTTGCGCGTCGCGCGGGCGAGCGCGGTCGCTGCGTTCGTCGTCGCCGTCGCCGTCGGTCATGGAGGCGCCGAGACCGAGCGAGTCAAGTTTGTCTCCGTCGAGGTTATCGAGCTGGTCCGACAAAGGATCGTCGAAGTGGTACATAGTCAGGTCCTAGCAGACCGTCTGGTTGGTCGGGGCCGCCTAGTGACTGGCGGCTCGATCCTGCCTTGGCCCGCGGTGGAAGGCTCGGACTCAATCTTGCAAAATCCATATCTAGAGCGCCCCGCTCTTCAGTCAAGCAAGTTGGGCGCCTGGCGACGTCGGTCATGGACGGCGACGACCGCGCAACGGATGACTGCGGCGAATTTACGTCGACACTTGGCGGCGCGAGACCTCGCGCAAGGGCGCGCAGGCGCGCGTTGGTAGCGGCGAATTCATCGGCGCGGCAGTTGAAAGCGTCCACGACACGCCCCTCGTTGACGCCGCGCTCGCCCAAGCGGCTTTCACTCTTCGTGCCGTGATCCAGTCTGGTTGTCCGCGGGACCCAATGGATCTTAAACGAGAGGTCGGCCTGGGCACCCGCTCGCGACGGCGGTTTACCAGGGAGAAGGTCAGCGGCTTGGTTGCCAATGAAAATGCGAACAAGCCGTTCAGCCGCGGCGACAGGACGAAGCACGGCCAACGCCTCGGCTCCCTGCGCGGACAGGGCCAGCCCGCGCACGCGCGCGGAGTGATTGGACTGGTGGCCAGGGCCATCGTACACTCCGATGCCAGCCCTGGCGAGAAGCGGGCGCGCTTGGCGGGGGCAATCTCCGTCGCTGGCAGGCCCCGCGCCCGCCAGTGAATCTGGCGGGGACAACCGCCGGGGCCCTCTGGCGCCCGTCGTGGAACGGGCCGCGGGGGCTCGTCCGCGGCGGAGTGGAGATCATGGGGCCAGGGGGTCTTCCTCCAGATGACCGCGGTGTCTAGCATGCGGCGGCAGGTCTCGCCATTGTTGCTCGAAGATCATGGTTCGCCGATGCAGTCCGCTCGAAACCCCAGCGCGGGCGCGCGCAGACGGCGCGTTCTGTTTGGTTGCGCCGTCTGCGCGGCAGGGACGGGTCAACCATTGGCGTGGCAGCCGGCATTTCGGTCAGCATGGAAAGGATCCTTGCGGTTACGGACATCTTCAACATCATTGGCAGCTACACTGTTGGTGCCGACACTTACAGAATCCGTTTCACAGCATGGTTCAGAGAAATATGGCAACCTCTCTATCAAGATCGCATGTTGACGCTAAGCCTACAGTGCGAGTTCATGATCAGGACTCCCTCACCAGAGCCAGAAGATGGTTTAGACGAAGACGGTCTTCCAGCCCCTCTTCCGCGAACTCCTCCGTCGAGCCCTTCACCAGGCGACTGGTGGCATATGATGGTCCGTCGCCGCTGCGCAAACTTCAACGAGGACTCCGACAGGAACCCCGACTCCCCATTCTCAGACCCCCTCATGGAGATGGAGCGCCAGGACGACTGTTGGGGCTGCTAGGTTCCTCCTACTCCTTCTACTATGCCATTCCTGTTGCGCCACTGGTGACGGTGACAAATGCCTTCACCCTGTACGGTTCGAGTTCCCTCGCCCAACGCAGTGCGCAGCTGGTATCACCTCAGCAGAAGCCTCCATATAACGTTCTTTATCTCCTGAACCTCAGGGGCTCCCAGAACACCGGTTTCAAGACGTGGTTCAACTTTCGTGGTCACTACTTTCAGCACCGACAGCGTTGTCAACATTATCCTACATGCTCCATTTCCTGGGTCGTTTCCTTTTCCGTGATGGGCATAAACCAGTGATCAGGGGCGAATACGTGTTCTCGGCACTTGCAAACATCATCACGGTCTCAAGTATCATACGTAATCATCGTGCTCTCCAGTTGTGTCCAGTTCCAACGTGGGCGGCAAGAGATTGTCGGCTGCTACCGTCGGAGTGGCTCGACCTACGCAAGCATCTAGATTCGGGCAGCCGCGTAGCACAGCGGGCGAGAACAGCGCCCCACTCCTTCATTACACACGGTGCGATTGAACTAACATCCAGCGTCTACGTTCTCTTCAACTCAGTTAGCGCGCATGTCGAATGAAAAAAATCAAGCGGGCAGGGATCTCAGGAGTTGCAGGCCGTCTCTCAGAACATCACAGATGCATCATTTGCCCGACATGTGGCGACGGACTTCGACCTAGGTGTGCTCTTCTTCGCAGGAGTCTTGGCGACCTCGCGTCCTTCCCCCACTGTTTTTTGTCCGACGTCGTCGGCAGCGCACCACTGCGAGGCTTTGATGATCCGACGCTTCCAACCCATCTGCAACCGAGCAGATACATCACAATATTCCGAACACAAGGTCCGCCAAGGCGATCATCTTCTCCAGGGCTATCGGTATCGACGCATTCCCCGCAGACGTCCTCCCCGCCGGCGACGCGCGCGTGTCTCCCACCCTCGTGTGTCCCCATGGCTTCAATCGGTTCATCCAGATGTTCGTCCAGTCCAGCGTCCGCCACTACAAACAAGCGTACTTGCAGACCTCCTATCAGGCGTTCTATGTGACACTGCTCCTTTCTCTACCCTCTATGTGGCACAGCAGAGGCAACACTTTGCAGACGCGGGTGAAGTTGGACCCCGATGGCCATGGGAACGCCGCCGAAGTAGCCTGTTCCTGGCATGGCTTGCTCGTCCACGCGCGCCCCTACGTGCACCACAGTGGCCGATGCAGCAAATTGCATCTGTCCTAGTTTGGGCCGCGATGATGGCTCCTGACCTACTCCAGGCTCACACTCGAGTTCTTCATGCGTTCAAGATCATCGAGATCATTCTTCGACGCCTACGGCTTCTTTGCATGCGCACCCCTGCTCTCGAACTCCCCTACGAAATGTAGCGTGGAAAACATATTCGTTGGTTTCGTGCTGAAGTGAAGCGTCGCGTTTCTTCAATCAGATGGGAAGACTCTCGGACATGGATCCGCACCAGGGCGAGGTACACCTGCGGACGCCAGTCAACGTGGAAGGACAAGATCAATGCCCCTTCATTGCGCCACACGTACAAGGTAAAATATATACCTAGGCCGACGAGCTGTACGTGCCCACCTCCCACCATATTGTCTTCGTTGCTTACCTGGATTGTGGAGACATCCACGGTGGTCTGCACCGAAGGTGTTGGTGGCCGAGTGCGCTTCGAGTCTCAACAGTTTGGGCCAGCGCGTCGGGATTCATCGGACACAACTCCGACGGGCACTCACGCGACTCCATGGCGGGCCAGGTTTTCAGCGGTCAACGTCGTCACCATGGGTGGCGAGCTCTTCTTCTCGGATGGCCTGGACTACTTCAGAGGTGCGATCTACTTCTTCGCAGGTACAGCGGCCCCCTTAACAGGCGCAGTCTCCTTCTTCGCAAGCGCGGTCTTCTTATCCGCAGGCGCGATCTTCTACTTCACAGGCGTCGTCTACTTCAAAGACGCGGTCTACACCCCCAAGGCGCACGATGTCGACACCTCTGACATCCCCTACACGCTCGTCTTCTGATTCGCGCGCCAGCCCCTCGGGTCCTAGACCGGGTGGGCCCCCGCCCGCTTGGGGCGAAATAGAGCAAGCCCTGTCATTAGCATTGCGTGAAGCGGATGAGTGCGTCATCATTGGAGGCGACAAAGTTGCAGATCGCGTCTGGTCAGCGAATGGTCCAGATATGGCTCGTTGCATTCTCCAATCCACTTCAGAGGATCCAGCATGGCGGCGCCGGCCAGACTTGTCAGAAGCGGATGTGTGCACATGGGCCTGGGCAAGAGCAGTGTCTGCACTTCCTGTCTGGCTTCGTGGGCCGCCCCAGCTCCCACGCCGAAAATCACCTTCCCGACCTCCCATTGTCTCCCCACTCGTGAAGTCGAAGTGTTTCTCAATTACAGATGATAGGCTGCACAGGAAAACGGCTCGCAGCTTTTCCCGGAGAGTCATCGACACTTCAGGGTATCCTGGTATGTTTGGTTTTCGGCTTATTGGAAGGGCCGCTAGGAGCTTCCTGAAGTGGTCAGAAGCAGGTGACGAGTGTTTTGACGTCAGATTCGCAGCGGATGATGTTCGGTCCCTTCGTGTCCGTCTTCTCGTAGCTCCCCTCCCGCATTGTCGTCGATGCGGTTGTGACGTTACAGAGGTCAGTGCTGTCTCATGTGATGCAGACCAGGCTTATGAGCAGGGCAGTGCAACAGCTATCACATCTGCATGGCGTTTCGTAAAGCATTATATTCAAACGGCGGCGCCGACCGAAGCTTGTCTCGTTCGAAA